GATGGACGTGGAGCGGGCGAGGTACGAGTAGCCGTCGGGCGGCGCCGATGCTGGCGCGCTGGGGTTGGCCGAGGCCGGGAGCGAGTCGTTGCGGCTGACGCTGGGACGTGGGCGGGATGGCGTCGAGATGCCGACTGCGGGTCTCGGTGGTTGGGCCTGCGCGGCGACGGCGACGGCGACGGCGGGGCCCGACATGTTCGCTGTGGGCCTGACGGTGGCGGGGGTGGGTGTGGGGTGAGGGCGAGGGCGAGGGCGAGGGCGAGGGCGAGGCCAGCTGGCGAAACAAGAATCAGGGGGAGAGAAGGTAGGGCGGTAGGACGGTAGCGCGCAGCTGAAGGTCGTCACAGCTTGGCAGGCGGGGTGTGGGCCGTGGGTTCGTCAAGAGGGGTCGTCAGAGATGGAGCAGTGCGTCGAAAGGCAAGAGGGGGCGGGTGAGGAGGAAAAGAGAAGAAGGAGAAAAGAACGGCGACGAGGACGAAGAAGGAGGAGATGGTGGTGGTGGTGGTGGTGGTGGTGGTGGTGGTGGTGGTCGTCGTCGTCGTCGTCGAGGCCAACGGACGGTGGTAACTTTTTTTTTCCCCTCGAGCCCCCTCCGCAAGCGTCGAGGGGTGGCGCCGGCTTGGCTGCTGGCTGCACGGTGCTGCAGCCTCGGAGGCGCCAAACAAAGCCTCCCCCCCTTCCCCCCTTTGGCGGCTCATCGGGAGAGGATGCGGCCGCTTTTGGCAGGTGGGACCGCGTAGCTGGCGCCCTCCCGCCTGATGGCACGGCAGGCCAGGCTGAGCCCGAGCGCCCCTCTGTGGCCCCCTATTCCTCGCTCGTCTGCCGTCTTGCCGACCTCATGCACATCAAGCAGAGGAAGAGGAGCGAGCGGAGTGCTAGTGCGGACGGACCCGCTCCCCGAGCCGCTCTGCCGGCTCGGGATGCGACCAAGCAGCAGATGAGGTAGTCAAGAGTGGGCAGAGTAAGAGCGGCTAGGGCTCAGTCTGAGGGTCAATTAGGCGGAGGCGTTGGGCCAACTTGGAGCGGCAACGAGCTCGAGCTGCCGGTCAGGGGCAGCCTGCAGACGGCCAGACAGGGTCCAACCACCAAGCAAGCAAGCGCAACCAAGCAGCCCGCACGCACGCACGCACGCGGCAAGCTGTAAACATGCAGGCAGGCAGGCAGGCAGCGCGGGCCCTGGCCGGCCGGCCGTGGAACATGGGCCAACCCCGCTGTGGCCTCAACACGTGCTATGAGCCTCTCGCCCGAGACAACCAACAGCGCCGCGCACAGGCCTCCACCTCGTTGCCTCTTCTGTCGCCTACCCCAAGGACGCCTTGTTGGCAGCATACCCCCCACCACCACCACCACCGCCCGCACCACCACCACCATCACCACCCGCCGCCACCGACAGCCGTCATGCCGTCCATCGCTCCCGCACCGCCATCCTCTACTGCGGTGCAGCTTGGCACGCTGGGCATGTTCATCCTCGACACCTTTTCCTTCCTCGACCCCGTCACCGCCGAACCGCAGGGCGATCGCGGTCTGGGCATCCAGCTCGGCGGCGGCGGCCTCTACTTTTGCATCGGCGCACGCACCGCCCTCGATCCCGCAGCCATACAGATGATCATCGATACCGGCACCGACTTCCACCCCGACATCCGCGCCGCACTCGAGCGGTTCGACCGTACCGCCCCCGGACATTCCCCCATGGTGCTCGCGGCGGGGAGGGAGGGGAGACCGCCATCCATGTGGCACTTTCGTCAGCGCGACGGCCAGACGACGCGCGCCGTTAACGTCTACCGCGGCGAGCACCGCGGCTTCGAGTACCTCACGCCCAAGGTCAGGCTCGAGGTGCGCGACCTCGTCCTCGCCTCGCCCACCACCCCGCCCACGCTGCCCCGCTGGATCCACATGATCTGCACGCCCCAGCGCGCGCGCGACATCATCCAACACATCGACGCCAACCTCGCGGCGGCGACGGCGGCGGACCTGGCCCAGACAAAAAGCCTCGGCCCCCGCCTCGTCTACGAGCCCATCCCCGACTCGTGCGTCCCCGAGAACCTCGACGACTGCCTCGGCCTCCTCGACCGCCTCGCCGTCTTTAGCCCCAACCACGAAGAGGCAGCGGCGCTCCTCGGCCTGTCCGAGGCGTGGCAGACGATATCGACGACGGACAGGTCGGCAGAAGTGCAGGTCGAGTGGATCAAGCGCAACCTCGCGCACGGGTTTGTCGAGCGGTGTCGCGCTGCGGGCGTGGCGGGCAACCTGCCGCTCATCTGCATCCGATCTGGCAAGCTCGGCTGCGTCATCGGCTCAGACGCCGTCGGGTTCCAGCACGTGCCGGCCTACCACACCGCCGACGTCGAGCCCAGCCATCCGGCATCCAGCACCCGCGTAGTCGACGTGACGGGCGCCGGGAACGCCTTCCTCGGCGGCCTCACCGCCTCCCTCGTCGTCGCAGCCGCAGCCGCCGACGATGCTCGACCTTTGCGGGCAGGGCAGAAGCAAGAGGCCCGCCACCTGCACCGCGAGGCGGCCATACACGGCGCCGTGGCTGCTTCGCTCGTCATCGAACAGCTCGGCCTGCCCTCGTTTGACGTCGTCAAAGAGCCAGCCGCTGCGGCGCGGGCCACGGGCCAGCAGGCGGTGGAGACGTGGAACGGAGCGACCATCCACTCCCGCATCGAGCACCTACGGCAGAGGGTAGCAGAGCAGGGTGCGGCGTAAGGCAGAATCAGTCAAAAACAGGCGGTGCTATCGCCGTACCACGTTCACAGACAGAGGCAGGGCGTGCAGGGTTGCAGGTGTGCAGGGGTGCACGTCGATTGTCCGGGATGGTGGCCGCACCTCAATCGCCGAGCTCGCGATCGAGCAGCCGACTGAGCGTGCTCTCCTTCCACCACGTCTGGCCCTCGAGCACCGCAAAGATGGTCTCCTCGCGTATCCCGTACTGCTCGTAGATGAAGTCCCTCGGCGCGATCTCGCCGACAGCGGCGGCGGCCGACGATCTCCTCCTCGCCGCCGCCGTCGACCTGCTCCTGCTCTGGGGCGACCCGTTGCTCGGCGCGGCGAGGGACGTCGATGTCGCCTCGGACGGGTCCGGGGACGAGACATCGCCGCTGCTCTGCTTGTCGAGCGCCACCGACGACGACGACGAAGACGACGATCGCGAGAGCGACAGCGATGTAGACGGCATCGGCGGGCTGCGGTCGAGTTGCAGCGGCAGCTCGCCAGAGAGCTCCTTGTCCCGCCGCCAGATGGCGAGCGCGGCGCGGTTGGTGCCCCGCAGCACGCTCGACAGCTCCTCGCGGTCCGGAATGTAGAGCCGCGCCTCGAGCGTCTGCACCAGCGCCAGCGAGATGCGGTAGATGAGCGAGTCGGTCTCGTCCAGCAAGCTGCGGTGCGCATCAGGGGCGTGACGCCGGCAACATGCGAGAGACAACGAAAGGGAAGGCACGAGAGCGGACGTGTCAGCATGCTGTCCCCCCCTCCTCTTCTGTCGAACTTGGGCCAGCCGCCGCCCTCGGAACCCGGCACTCACACCACGTCCCACAGCCGCATGACGGTGTCGCAGTCGAGCCACGCGCCCCACAGCTGCGTCACCCACTCCCTGACGCACTCGCCGTGGATGTTGACGCTCTGCGCCAGCAGGTTGGCATACACCTTTGGCATCTGGTCGGCCAGCAGCGTCTCAAAGACGCGCTCGAAGCCGCGTATCCCCTTTTCCTTTGGGCTCGGGTCTGCCGAGGCCGCCGACGGGCCCGGCGTCGGGTGGGTGGGCGACAGCGAGTAGAGCGCCTTGAGCCACGCCTTGGAGTTGATGAGGTTGAGCAGGCAGATGAAGGCCGTCGTGGCGGGCAGGTTGATGAGCAGGATGGCGGCCAGCGTCGAGAGGCCGCGCTGGTACAGCTGGATGCCGCGCTGCGCATACTCGTCCTGCTCCTCGACCGCCGTCGCCGCTGCCCCCTGGCCCGCGCTGCCAGCATCGCTGCCGCTGCCGCTGCCGCTGCCGACCTCGGGGCTCCTCGTCATGTCCGGGCTGTGGCGCATCCTGGCGGCGGAGCGGTCCGCGTTGCCCGCCGCCGTCATCTCGTCGACCTGCTCCATGCGGATCAGCACGAATGCACGGCAGATGCGGACGAGGTCGTCGTAGAGCGGGCCCGTCGCCTTCTGGAACAGCTTGAGGCTGGGCAGCGTGTCAGCGATCTCGGCCTCGATCTCGTCCATTACGGCCGCAGGGATCGCCCTGCGCTCGCCGCCGGCCTGCCCGAGGGGCGCGATCCGCTTCTCGGCCTGCTCGAGAAGGTTCCGAGGCAACATCATGGCGTTGCCGATGGCCAGTGCCCACACCCGGCCGCGCAGGCTGGGCGGCGCCCCGCGCCACCACAGCGCTCGGAGCTCGTCGTCCTTGCGGGCCCGGGTCCAGCTCGGCAGGATCTCCTTTTCCCAGCGCACCAGCGACGCCCGGCGCTCCTCTTCCTTTTTCCTGCGCCTCTCCTCGAGCTCCTCGTTCCGCTTTCGCTCGAGCTCCTTGTGCATCATCATCATCTTTTCAAAGTCGACGCGGTGCTTGATCTCCTCGGACTTTTGCTTGGGCGGCAGCGTCGTCATCCGCGTGCGCGACTCGATCGGCTCGGCGTTGGCGGCAGATGAACGGCGGCGCCGCGACTGCTTATCCTGGGGCACGTCGGCCTTGTCCGAGAGGCCCGGCGAGAGTGTCGCCGCGCCGGCGCCGGCAGCAGCGCCATCGTTTGGAGGGGACAAGGAGCCTTGGATCGAAGTGCTGCGAGCAGGGAGCGACGGCGTGCCGTTGGCTGCGGGGGCAGACGCTCCATTCGAAGGCGCTCGGTTCACCGATGTCGGCCGCTCAGCCCGGCACTCCTCGTCCAGACCCGCCGCCATCTTGAACGTCGCCGAGCGCACCGGATCCGCCGCGCCGCCACTCGCAGTGGGCGTGACCCGCTCGTCGGCCGCAGCGGCCGTGGGCGATACGGTCTGCTCGGCCGTGTCGGCATCCTTGCCGCCGTTGCCGGCGTCGCTCTCGTCGACGATGACGGTGATGCCGCTGGCGGCCGCCCGGAGGTTTTCAGTGACGATGCTGGGAAGCTCTTTGGTCGTCATGCGATCGGTTCTGCCGGCGATGACTGCGCTGCTCGACGAGCCCGTCGAGGATACCGAGGCAGACTTTCGGTGGTCGCTTCGTGGCGGCGTTCCGGCGGCGGCGCCGCCGCTGCCGTCGCCATCCTGCGGGAAGTTGGGCGGAAGCCGGGATCGAGAAGCGGAGCGAGACCGGCCCGCTGACCCTTGCGGTTCCGGGCTGGCTGCACGGCTCGACGCGGTGCTCTTTCGTCCGCGGTACCTGCCTTCGGCGGGCTTGCCGGGCAACGGCTTGTCCAGGATCGGGCTGCGGGGAGGCGTGTCAGAGACAAGAGACGCACGCCGCAGAAGCGAGGGATCCGCCAGGCCCGGCTCGACGGCGAAGCGGTCCGGTACGTCCTGCGACGCGCGGATCGTCGCACTTGACAGGCTGTCGCTCCGGATCTGCTCTGAGCTCTTGCCCTCGAACGTGGTGGCGAACGGCGAGCCGGGCACCGCCATCGAGCTGCCGAGGTCGCCGGCGGGCTCGAGATGGATGTCGACAAAACTCTGGCCGGACCTGCTGACCTCGCTGACGCCGCTCATGTGCGAGGCGATCCGGTCCATGGCGTGTCCGGCGCCGTAGAAGAGGTGCTCGTCGGCGTACCGCTGGAATTGCTCCGCCTCCTGCGTCGAGCCGTCCTCGTCTTCCTCGATCGTGGAGCCAAGTCGGGCCAGTGCGCCACGCTTCGAGGGGCCCTCAGAGTCGACCGTCTCCTCGATGTCGTATCGCTTCGGCGGCACAGAATCGACTCGGATGTGCGTCGGCCGATATCGCTGAGAGGAAGACGGCGGTGCCGCCTCCGGCGGCTGCGGCTCTGCCTCTGCCTGACTCGTCGCTTCCGTTGGCGGGGATGGTGACGGTTCCTGCGCTAGAGCCACTTCTGCCTCCTGCGACGCCGAATGAGATGCTCCTGCGTTCAGAGAAAGGTCCGCCGTTGCTGTCGCCAGCTCGTTTGCTGGCTCGATGGAAGACTCCGCGGGCGGCTCAGGAGCAGCACCCGGCTCGTCCCGGCTCTGAAGCTGCGGATCTGACGGCGATGTCTGATGCGCAGTCTCGGCGTCCGCTGTACTGACGGCGTCTTGTTCGACCGCCGCACTTGTCGAGGCTTGTTCGTCTGTGATTGGTGGCTGGGACGACTCTGCTTGGGACGCTTCGCCGTCCACGGGAGTGCGGCCTTCCGGCTCGCTTTCGCCGTTCGAGTTATTCTCCGGCCGCTCTTCACCATCGAGAGGAGCCGCGGCACCATGCTGAGACTGATCATGGCTGGGTCCTTCGCACTCGTCGTTGATTGACGCGGCTGCCTCGCTAGCAGTGCCGGGGCCCTCTCTCTCGGTGGTCGTGGTCGACGCCAGGTCTGGCGCAACCGCCCCGTCCGGGAGCACTTCGTTGGGAGAGCCGACCATCAAGGCGTTTGCATGGGGCAAGATGGTGAGGCCGGGGGTATCAGGGATGCAGAGGGTGAAGCAAGTGAGGCGGTGCTGAGCTGACCCGGGTCAGCAGCGGCCGCGGTGACTGCGGTAGTGGTAGCGGCGGTGGTGGTGACAGGTTGCGCTGGATCGGCCGAGGGCGTCTTTATCTCGGCGCAGATCGAGAGTCTGCGTTTGCGCTCGCTCGGCGAGTCGTAGTGGGCGAAGGTAGATGGCAGATGGTGGGCGGCTAGAACGCTGAGGAAGAGCCGATAGAGGGGGAGAGAGGGAGAGGTGCCCCCCAGGCAGCCAGCAAGACGCTTGGCGCCTTCGGAAGCACGCCGCTGCCGAATGTGGCAGGCCCGGCCATGCGGCTGTGTTCTGTATGTGTTGGCCCGAGTCCCGGCTGGCTGCCAGTCTTAGCTTGGTTCGACCCGGCCGGCTGGGCTGAGGGCTGGCCAACCGGGCCCAACCAGGCAGGCCCGTCCCCAGTTTCCACAAATTGGAGAGGCAAGCGCGTCGCGGTCAGGCAGCCGCTCGCTCTGCCAGGCCTGCCTGCCTCTGCTTCGCCCGCAGGCCTTCTGGCTTGCCGCCCGCCCGAGCCACGCCAGAGTCGTCGAGCCAGGCCTGGCCTGCCTGGGCGGGTTGACCCACGAGCCAGCCTGGTAAAGTCTCTGGAGCGCGCCTGGCACGCACGCCCGCCCGCCCGCCGTGGCTGGCACCTTCCTTCCGCCCTCTGCCTCTTTCTTTCGCGCTGCAGACCATCCTCGCTCATCCCCGCCTCCCTCTGTCGCTCATCCCGCGTCGTTCCGCTCCCAACGCGCCCTCTCCCTGCTGTGCCGCGCTTCTTTACACCGCCCCGACTCGCTGCCATCCGTCGCTACCGCCGCCGCCCTACTGTCACCACCTTCTTCTTCCCGCTCGTCGACCTCCTCCACCTCGACTCGTGACACTGCGCAAGAGGCAAGGACACCTCGTCAGCCTTGCCAGTAGTAGCCTCGAGCATCTGCTGAGCCCCTCTGCTGCTCCTGCCAGCCACAAGGTCCATCCGGATCCAAGGCCTGGAACACCCGCCCGCTCGTTCCGTTGCATCTTGCTCCAAGGCTGCCGGCACCCACGCATACTGTCCGCCCTCTGCCGCTTCTTCCCGACGTTTACCCATGGTCGCATCGCCTAGGAAGCGCCCCAACTCGACGTCGTCGTCCAACGGCCGCGGCAGCAAAAAGGCGCCCGTCGAGATCCTCTCAGAGGACTCGGACGTCGCCTCGGTCAAGGACGACGTCGATGCCGACGACGACGAAGACGACGATGACGAGGAGGCCGAGGAGTACGAGATCGAGGCCATCAGGGAACATAGGGAGGATACGTCGAACCCCGTGAGTCCGCAAGAAGGCGTGCATACTCCCCCCTCCCCTCCTCCTCCGCTGCACGTCACACGTAGCCCGCTGACCCATGCGCTCCCGCCGTCGCCTCCTCCTCCCCCTGCCGCTTCTTCTCGCCTGCTGGCGTGGCGACGCAGGGCTATCTCGAGTACCTGATCAAGTGGAAGGGCTACCCGGAGAGGGACAATACGTGGGAGCCCGAGGAGAACGCCAAGAACTCGCAGGCCATCATCGACGCGTACTGGAAAAAGAAGCCGGCCAAGTCGCAGCCGCACAAGTTTGAAAAGGAGTCCAAGAAGAAGTCCAAGCGCCGCTCGACGTCGCGTGCCAGCGCCAGCGTCAAAGCCGACGACGACGACGACGACGACCAAGACGCAGAAGAGCGAGGCGCGGAAGAGGACGAGGGGTCTGCCGAGTTCCTCGACGCGCCCGAGGACGTCGACGACGACGAGGCGGCGGCGGCGCCGCCGCCGAGCAAGAGGCGCAGGGGAGCGTCGGCGGGCAGGCGAGAGGCGGCCACGTCGGACGACGTCGACGACGAGTACGCGTCGGAAGAGGAGCGCCAGAGGCAGATTAGCATGCTGACGGAGGCGGCGCTCAACAAGTACAAGCGGATCGAGGACTGGGAGTCGCTCGTCGAGGGCGTCGAGACCATGGAGCGCGGCGACGACGGCGTGCTCATGGCGCGCCTCATCTTCAAAAAGGAAAAAAAGTACAGCCGCAAGATGCTCGAGCTCGGCGAGGCCGAGCTGGCCGCCCTCGGACCGCAGCTGTGGGTGCGCGAGACGGTCGCCAGCAAAAAGTGCCCGCAAAAGGTGCTCCAGTTCTACCGCGACCACCTCCGCTTCTCGCAGCCCAGCAAGACCGAGGAGGAGGAGGAGGAGGAGGAGGAAGAGTGAAGGCGGCGCGGTCGAATACGCGCTCTGCTCCCTTGCCGTCGCGCTGGCGGTAGCAGGATAGGCGACCGGCGCAGAGGGGCGGCCGATGGGGAACGACGACGACGACGATGACGGCGAAGAAGAAGCAGACGGCGACGACGGCGACGACGCTGTCCGTAGTGCGGCGATCCAGACCCGATCCACTGTGTCATCCGGCCCCCCTTTGAAGCGGGGCGGATCTCGACGCGCCTTGCTGCAGAAATGCCAGACAGAGAAGAGCGACACGCTCCATGCCCATCGCCTCGAGGCCCGTCCCGTGCGAAAGGCACCGTGTGTACAGGAGAGCTCGAGGCCGCCTGGTGATCACGACTCGTCGGTCGGGCTAGGGGAAGCGCCAGGCAGCGCCGCTGAGACCGGCAAGGCAGCGGTGCGCAGGGGAGGGACCAGGCCGTGACGTCGACGAGCGCCAGCAGCCGGCCGTCATGCGCCTCGCCCGGCCGGATCCCCGCCGGCAGCTTCGCCGCCGTGTATGTATGTGCACCGCTGCATGGTCGAGCCCCACCCCGCAGCAGCAAAGAAAGATCGGTCGATGGGTCAAGGGTCTGATTCCGGGCGATGCGTCGACTCCCTCCGCCGTGAAGGGCGGGCGGGGAGGCGAGTGGCTCAAGAGAGGATAGGATAGGACAGGGACAGTGCGCCGGAGAGCTACTGGTAGCGCTCGTCGTAGATCCTCTCGGCCTGCTCGCGCGCGTGGTGCTTGGCCTTTTCGCGGTCGAGGAAGTCGAGGCCCTTGGTCTCAAACAGCCTGTCCGGGGGGGTGGGGCGGCGAGGCGCCAAGAGAGCAGCAGCGCAGGTCGATGGGGTCAGTATACCAGGCCGGGAGGGCAAAGGCAAAGGCGACGACGACGACGACGGCAGAGGGAGAGAGGGAGGGGAAAGACTCACTTGTCGACCTCGGCACCGGCGATGCCGGCAATCATCTCCTTTGCAAACTCGTGCTTGGGACGCTCGCCCTGGGCCTCCTGCCTCTTTTCGTACTCGCGCATGGCGACAAAGCCGGCGCCGAAGCCGACGGCCTCGTGCGTCCACTTGGCCTCGTGGGCGTTGGAGTCGCCCTGCGGGTCGTTGTTGTCTGCGTGTGCGTGGTCCAGGGACAAAAGGAGAAGGGAATTGTCAGCCAGGGCGGGTGGGGAAGAGGCGAGAGGGGCGACGGCCGACGACGGGTACGTACAGACGTGCTCGGCGGCCTCCTCGTGGTCGTTGAACCACATGCTTGCTATCGTTGCGCGGTGGTGGTGGTGGTGGTGACGGTGGTGGTGGTAGTAGAGGAGCGTGGATGTGCAGCAGTGCCAAAGTCAGGCGAGCGTTGGTGTTGGTGTTGGTGTCGAGGATGGGGAGAGGAAGTGGAAGAGGCGGAGGGGAGAAGCAAGGCAGCTCATCTTATACCTCACCCCGAGCGAGGGAGAAGGCGGGGGCGATGCGAACGGACCGTGCTGGACGGCGAATCAGCAGCAGCAGCAGCAGCAGCGGTCTGGCAAGCCAGGAGGGGCGTCGGCTGGACGGTCTGCCTCCTGGCGGCGTCGAGGCAGGCAGGGGTGGTGGGGCTGTGAAGGAGCATGGTCCGTGCCTTTCCCAGCCCAGCCCAGCCCAGCCCAGCCCAGCCCAGTCCAGTCGATTCCGGCTTGGCCATTCACGCTCCCTCAAGCTTGAGAAGCGCCAGCTCGAGCGAGCATGCACGCACGCCCCCACCCACCGACGACGTCGGCGATGCCGAAGAGGGCGGGAAGGGCCCGAGGCTGTGCTGGGAGGGCGACCAGGCCGCGACCGCAGCGCAGCGGCTGTGCCGTTGACGTGCAGGCCTCTCGCCGGCTCCCCGACCTTTCACCGCGCCAGCTGGGCGCCAGAAGCTCGCTCGGGCCCTGCCCGCCCAGTCCATCGCTCATTGTCCCAGCCCTGCCCTGCACCATTGCTTGGCCTAGGCTGACGATGCGGTGCAGGATGTGACGGCGAGGTGGCGGCGGCTCGATGACGAACTTGACGACGTGATGTGATGTGAAGTGAGCGGGGCAGGCTAGGGTGAGGAGCAGGCAGGCAGGCAGGCAGGCAGGCGCGGGTCGGCAGGCCGCGCAGGCAGGCAGGCAGGCAGGCAGGCGGCGCCGGCAACAACGGCGGCGGCGGCGGCGGCGAACCGTCGGCTGGCTCGGCTGGCCCGCCGGCTTCTCCGTGCGTGGAAGCAGGCCGGCCGGCAGGCATCAGGCGGGCGCGGCAGGTAGGCTTCGCTCGGCAGCCAGCATCCTATCCTGCGAATCGGGCGCAGCTGAGCAGGCATCGGATCGGCGTATGCACATCGGTGATTTCATGGTGACCTCGTTGGTCCTTTGCCGTCCCTGCGCTTCCTCCATCCCGGACCGGATCCTCTCAGCCAGCGATCGACTGGGCGAGCGCAGAGCAACAATCAAGCGAACGATGCAGCCACGCATCCGATGCCAGCAGCGGCATCGAGCGGGGCGCGACACTGACACTGCGCGGCGCGGCGCGGCGGCCACGTGCGCTCGATCATCGCCCCTTTCTGCCAGCGGGCACGCCGCCACCGGCGGCAGCCTTGACCTGACCGAGGGTCGACTGCCACCACGCGGTGACCATGAGGGCGAGTAGGCCGTGTGCGACGCCGGCGAGGAGCTCGGGGGTGAGCTGGTGCTGTGCGAGCTTGAACTGGGCGCCGAGGCTGACGCCGGTGATGGGGTCGGCGTTGAGGAAGACGGACGAGGCGATGCCGTGGTAGAAGAGGAGGAGGATGGCGACGGCGCGCTTGCCCGGCAGGTAGTCGGGCAGCGTGTAGAGCAGCAGGCAGGCCAGCGAGAGCGAGAGGCTCAGCGCCGAGTAGAGCTGGCCAAGAGAGACGCAGAGACGAATGGCAGCGAGGTGAGCGAGCGGCGAGGCAGCGAGGCAGCGAGGCGGCGAGGCGGCGAGGCAGCGATCAAGCGGCGAGAGAACGGCGCCGACTCACCTTGATCATGACGCGGACGGTGTTGTTCATCTCCTCGAAGCGCACCGAGCTCGTAAGAAAGAGGCCGACGACAGACAGCGGCAGCTCGAGGGCCGTGTGGAGCAGCCAGACCATGCCCCACACGGTGGGCACAGCGTGCTGCGGAGACGCAAACGACGTCGTGGGCGGTGCCATTGTCGAGGGTGGGCAGAGAAGGGTGCACAGGAATGGTGATGGTGGTGGTGGTGGTGGTGGAGGCGGAGGGCAAGGGTCGGTTGGGCAGCTCTAAATCGACGGAGACCCCCCGAGCAGGAGCGAGCAGGCCAGCAGGTCAGGCTTGGGTTGGGCTCGAAGCAACGCTCAGCCTAGGCCCCGCCCGGCCTCGTCTGGCCTGGCCCTGACCCGCATGAATTCCGAGCGGGGCGGGCCAGACCCGGCCTGCGGTGCAATCTCCAGCCAGCGCAGCGCAGCACAGCCAGCCGCTTCGCGTCGCCGGAAGCCACCCTTCCGCGCTGCAAGATACCACAAAGGCGGCGGCGCGGGCGGCGACAGCGAGCGTCAGTAGGTCCTCCCGCCGGTCCGCCCAGACCAACGACACGCCGCCTCGACGCCAGCAAAGAGCCATCAGGCCTCCCGGCGTAGGCTAGCACCGGACGAGATGGCCGGGGGCCCGTCTGGTGATTATTATCGTCTGTCGCATTCGGTGGCCATCCAGATCATACAACGTCGCACAGAGAGGGGCGCCAGGGGAGCCAGGGGGCCAAGGGGCAAGGAAGGAGCAAAGGAGCGAGAGAGGGGCAACGAAGCGGCGGCGGTGGCGGCGAGACGGGGCCAGCAGCCACGGCGCAGCCTGCTGCCGGTGCGCGCCACTCGCGGGGTCATAAGCAAGAGCGGAGGCGGGGCGGGGGTCTAGGTCGGTGCGGTGCGGTGCGGTGCGCTCGGGCGGCTATTCACAGTTCTAATGGTGACGATGGCGGCGAGCGTTCGTCTGGTGCGAGCGGAGGGCTGCCGGGTGTGTCGAGTTGGATCAGGCCGGGGCTACCGCATCGACAGGCGCGACGGGCTCATGTTTGCGCCAATGACGCTCTCTGGTGGAATCGATCCGGGCCGCCGCAGCGTCGCCTGCGTTCGGAGGTGGGCTGTTTGCTCTGCGGAGCGGTCAGGAGCAAGGTGGCAAGCGAGCAACGACGTCGGTGGCGAGCGAGACAAGCGGTCGTGCGGGATTTAGCCAACGGTTCAGAGTCCTGCCTCGACGCCATCGCCGCGCGGGCTACTCACGCTCGAGCTCCCTCGTCGTCTTTCGCCAGTTTTCCATGTGGCTGTCGGCCTGGGCCTTGTACCGCTCGACGGCCTGCTGCAGCGACGTAATCATCTCCTCGTCGACGCCCGCCTCGGTCATGAGGCTCTGGTAGGCCGCCGCCAGCTGGTCGTACTTGAGTTCGCTCTCATCGAGGTGCGCGCGCAGGTCGCGGATCTGCGCCAGCAGCTGCACGCTCTGCGACTGGCTCTCACGCTGCTGGTGCAGCGAGTCCTGGTAGGCCTGCGTCAGCTCCTTGAGCTTGGTCTCAAGCTTGTCCTTTTCGCGCTGCCACCCGCCCGAAGTGGCCAGCGTGTCGTCAAGCTTGAGCTGGAGCTGCCGGGGTGGAGCGCAGGCCAGGCCGGGGGGCGGGATGGAGATAGTGAGACGATGAGACAGTCAGCTAATTGCTCAGTCGTGACATCGGTCGGCCGGCTCGTCGACATGCGCCAGGCGTCCGCATGCTGCCGCTTCCCTCCCTATCTCTCACCTCGTCGACCGAGCCGCGCAGGCTGCGGTTCTCGTCGCGCAGCTGCGACACGGCGGTGCGATGCGCCTCGATCTCGGCCGCCATCGAGTCGATCTCTTGCTGGTAGCGCCGGCGCTGGTTCTCGAGGGCCTCCTCGCGCTGCAGCAGGTCGGCGCGGTAGCGCTGCCGCTCGCGCTCAAACTCGCTCTCGACCTCCTGGCGCACCGCCTGCAGGTTCTCGAGGTCGCGCCCGCGCCCAATCTGCTCGAAACGGCCGTGCAGCTCGCGCAGCCGGCTCTCCATCTCGACGAGGTTGTCCTCGGCCGCCTTGCGGTCGAGCAGCGCCTCGTGCAGGTTGCGCTCCGTGTCCTGCAGCGTCAGCTTGGTCAGGCCCTCGGACTTCTGGCTCTTGAGGCGCTCCATTTCCAGGTTCTCGATCTTGCTCAAGTACGAGTCGGCCTTGGCCTTGTAGAGCTGCGCGGCGTCGCGCGCCTCGTTGACGGTGTGGTTGTTGGCGGCGTGGTTGATCTCGTACTCCTGCACCACCGTCTGCAGCCGCCTCCGCTCGGCCAGGTCCTCGTTGCGCAGCAGCGTCTCGCGCTCGAGGCGGTGCTGCAGGTCCGAGATCTCCATCTCGAGCTGCGACTTGATCCGCTCGCCGTTGAGCACCTCCTGCCGCGCCCGCCCGAGCTCGGCCGAGACGCTGCGCTGCTGCGACAGCATCGCCGCCCGCAGGTCGTCGGCCTGGCCGTCGCCCGACAGCTTGGCCAGCTGCTCGCGGAAGTCCTTGCGCAGCGACGACTCGCTGTTGAGCAGCGCCACCTCGGCGTTCCGGCGCGCCTCGCTCTCCTCGTCGAGCAGCTGCTCGAGCCGCTTGCGGTCCTCGGCCATCTTGCGCCGCGCCGCATCGACCGAAAAGTGGCCGCCATTCTGCCGGTCCAGGTCGGCCGCCATGTCCCGCACCTGCGCCTCGAGGTGGGCGCGCACCCGCTGGCCCGCCGCGAGCTGCACCTCGACCGCGTCGAGCTGGTTCTGCAGCGACTGCGCCCGCTTCACGTAATAACTTCGTATA